TAAGACAAGCACAATCAACGGCACCCGGACCGTCATCCGTCCACAACCTGTCATCCAAACAGCTGACAGAGGACCAAGTTAAAGTTCTTCAACATGAATCCAGTTACAACACAGGAGACGCACAGCCAGTGGACTTCATCGCCGCACTAGAAGCGAAACTCTCAAAAACGGATACCACGGAGGACTCAAAGAACGCGATTCGCCAACGAGTCGCGTCCCTCATCATATCCCACAGACCTCGCCGAACCATCCCCCCGGCAGAGGTAAAGGCCATCAAGGAACTAAAGAGGGACGAAGAAATTGTCATTGTTCCAACAGACAAAGGGCGGGCAACCGAAGTGCTAGACAAGTCGGAGTACGTTACCAAAGCGCAGCAGCTACTAAATGACGAACAATCGTACAAAGTCATCGACTCCTACTCCATGAAAGCACTGGTAGGCCAAATCAACAAGAGCCTGAACCAGATGAGGAACGAAAAGGCAATATCAGAAAAGGATTGGAGACAAATGAAACCACAAGATGTCGCCCTAGCGCGCTTTTATGGTTTGCGAAAATCCACAAGCCAAATGTTCCCCTACGGCCCATTGTGGCGCTGAAAGGCACGCCTACATACGGACTGGCTAAATGGCTTGCCAAGCATTTGAAGAAGCTGACGGACGGCTCAGAACACACAACTGTGTCGTCAACGCACTTCCTGGAAAGACTAAAAGGCGTCACAATAGCCCCCGACGAAATAATGGTGTCTTTTGACGTCATCTCTCTATTCACCTCCATCCCTAAAGAATTGGCCATGACAGCTGTCGATGACCTACTGAAGAAAAGGTACGACGAAGAAGGAAAACCTTTTAAGAGGAGGCACGCGATGGATCTACTGGACTACTGTTTACACACGTACTTCACGTCTAACGGCCAAATTTACGAGCAAATCCAAGGAGCCCCAATGGGGTCCCCAATCTCCGGCTACCTGGCTGAGGCGGTCTTGCAGGAAATGGAAACTCGGGTCTTCCAGACATACAAGCCGAAATTCTGGATGCGCTACGTAGACGACACCTTTGTCATCTTACACCGAGACGCGAAAGACAACTTTAAAAGAGAATTGGACTCAATTTTTCCACAAATCCAATTTACCATGGAGGAAGAAAATAACGGAGTGCTCCCTTTCCTCGACGTCCAGGTATCGAGGCAGGAAGACGGAACCCTCCAGACTGGTGTCTTTCGAAAGGCGACAGACACGGAGAAAATTCTTCATTACAACAGCAATCACCCCCTGTCGCATAAACGCAGTTGTGTTCGGACCCTCTTTCGCCGCATCTACACACACTGCAGCACAGAAGCCGAGAAGTTGCGGGAGCGTAAAACCCTATGGCGCCTCTTTCTTGCCAATGGATATCCGCACAGTTTTGTGAACAAATGCTTGTACCGAAGGTACACGAAGACGGACGGTGAGAAGAAACAAAGACCAGAAATCTTCCGTGTCTTGCCCTACGTGAGTAACGTCTCCGAAGCCACTGAGCGCATGCTAAGGCCGCTAGGCGTGGGCGTTGGTCACCGACCGGAGGCCACCATCCGCCGCTTAATAATGCAGCCCAAGGACCGGCTACCACCTGCAGACACGTCAGGCGTCATTTACCGCGTCAAATGTCTGGACTGTCCAGCCAACTACTGTGGCATGACCGACAAACGCCTAAGAACGCGCATGCATGAGCACACTTTGGCCGTAAGGCGAAAGGACGTACTATCGCATGTCGCCATGCACTGCCTGGAAAAAAATCATAAGTTCGACTTCAACGGCGCCCAGGTGCTCGGCCGAGCCGAAAGCAAACTGGCGAGGGAAGTGATCGAGGCCTGGAAACCAGACACGAACTCTATCAACCGAAGTATCGATTTGCCAGCGCCATACGAGGCCGTCAGGCACCATCTACGCGCGAGAGGGGGGCCAACGAGAAGCGAACGGGACGAACCTATCGGGTGAGAGTGCAGATGGCCTATTTAAACCCTGTATTTCTTACTTAGCCTATCTCCGAAGATGTGCTCGAGCATGAACACGAAACGTCAGATGAATAAACCTTCTTCCCCAGAGATCGCCTCATCCTCCTCTTCCATATATATATATATATATATATATATATATATATATATATATTCATCTTTTCCATCTGCTAGTTCGTACCACTATGATAAGCCTTCTGGGAGGCATAAACGAACGAGACGACGAGCTCTAAGCAACTGCCTAAATAAACTATAAGGGTGGAGGAAAGTTTTCCTAACTTTTTTAGTCAGGCTAAGGTCGATAGCGGACTTTTAGGTACAGTGGTCGACGTCCCCACTGGGTGGCAAGTGCAAGTTTGCCATTCTAAATCCTCTAATCCTATTGGATTAGGCCACTTTGAACCGCCAATTATATTGGATCTTGTCCGATTAAGTCTACATTATTGGTATAACCATTTGTCACATCATTTTGCCTATAAGCGATCTCGTGGAGACTAGTCAAATCCACAATGTCCATAATAACGTCCCCGAACGTCCTATTGGCCGTGACCTAACTTCTTTTATTCCTGCTGTTCGATTTACGCATATCCATTGGTCTTTTCTACGCAAACATTTCCGAACCGTCTGGAGGCCCCATAAAAACCGAGGACGACTGACGCTGAGTCCCTTG